GAAGATGTAGTATATATATACAATGGAATACACTGCTCAGCCATAAAAAAGACAAAATCATCCCATTTGCAACAACATGGATGGACCTTGAGGGTATTATGTTAACGAAACAAGCCAGACAGAGAAAGACAAACATTGCATGATTTTGCTCATATGTGGAAGATAAACAAACACATCGATAAAAGGAACAGATTAGTGGTTACCAGAGGGGAAGGGGGTTGTGGGGTGGGCAAAAAGGGTAAAGGGGCACATGGTGATGGATAAAAATTAGACTATTGTAGGTTAGCACGATGCAGTCTATACAGAAACTGATAAATAATAACATACATCTGAAATTACACAATGTTATAAACCATTACGACCTCAATAAAATAATAGAAAAAAATTTAAATGCTTTTTATTTTTTATATTCAAGCTTCAGCAGAGCTCCTATCAAATGATGCTGTCATTGCATCATGAAGGTAAATACAGATGAAGCCTGGAAGCCATTCACTAAAAACTCTCTCAGGTTCTCGTCGCCTCCTAATGAAAGTCATGCATACCAACTAAGCCAAGAAGACCACATTTGCTTACTTTGCCTATACACCAGGGATACTGAGGTTCTGGGGAAACTAAACAGGCAAATAAAGGTGAAAACCCAACTCCTCAGTTAACAACGCCTGCTGAGACTCTCTCGGATGCCCTGTTCAACGCTTTTGGTCACCAGACATGAAGAAAGTTGGGAGGCTGCCACTCCAATGGCTGACACTATTGTGCCCCTTCTGAGAAATGAGTGAATTTGAAAAAGTAGGGGTGAAAGAGAGTTCTACTTTGGTCTCAGTATTTGGTCAAAATCTGCTGCTACATTTCAGCTTTAGACTCAGCTATTGGAAGGCTGAATAGTTAAGTAGCCAGACATCCAATTCAATGCCATTTCTGGCATCCTTGAATGTGCATGTGACAAATGCTTGTGTGACCAGGAACATTACCATCGTATCTAAAGAGGGTATCAATGAGAGCAACACAAACAGAGCATCATTAGAGTTTCTTGTTTATAACTGAATATGCAATTTAAAATTCTGATAAGCAATTTAGAAGCAAGCAGAGTGAAAATCTCTTTATGTGCTCTATATGTT